TACACTGTCTGATGTCTCCCTTCACCCACTTTTCTGTTGTCCATCCCCCAGAGAGGGGGTTATATGTAGATCCATATAATTGGTCCCCCCTTTCTACCCCACCTTCCCTCCACCCTCCTGGTATTGCCAAGAGTATAAATCTTTATGGGAGCAGGCAACTTCATCGTTCTCCTAAGGACCAGTTGATGGTTTTTGATAAACTGATATTACAATTAGCAGCCTACCACTTATCCCATAGTGCCACCAGAGCTCCTTAAAGTGTTTGACATGCCGGTAAGAAAAAAAAAAAGGTAAATAATAAAAATCCAACCCTGTGGGAGGATCCCAAAATGGAATACAATAATAAATGAGCCAAACTGTATTACAAATGAATAGTATAACCATACAGAGGCAATGAAGAAAGGGAAAAAGACTAACCTACGTAGTTTGTAAAACTGATATTTTGATTGCATACTGCAAGGCTAAAGTTAAAAAGAAGTACGTATACACGAAAATTGTGCTCAGTCTGCTCTCTAAAGGGTATGGGTGAAGTCACGGGCCTGGGAGATGGGGGCAGCTCGATGTCAGTTGGCATAACAGTTCACAAAGACAGTATTCTACATTTCTCTTTGGTAAGAAGTAGCTGGGTATTAAGAGCTTGTGTGAGGCCATCTGATATACAACTTTTGGTCTCCTCCTGTCCAGCGTAGAGTGAAGAAAATGAAAGGCACATGGAAACCATTATTCCAGTGCACCAATGGGGCAGGCAAGCACCAGTCTCCACAGCCCTGAGAACAGAAGAACCAGATGGTGCCCAGCCACCACTACCAACTGCTCTGAGAAGGATCACATTAGAAGGTCCTGGATAGAGTGGAAGAAGAATGTAGAACATAACTCAAAAACATAAAAGAGACCTTGCTTTTACTCGTCAGTTAGAGATTGGTGGGACACCCAAGACTGTGGCCCTTACCCTTCAGATCTGGAACTGAATTCACCCCTTATAATCAGCCATTAAAATCAAAAGGGCAGCATTTACCCAAAGAGAAAGTTCAGAGGGTTAGGAAAGGAGAAGGAATGGGAACTAGAAGAAGTAGGATAAGTGATGGTACATTGAGGGGATTGCAGTGACGAAGCTTATCAGAGACTGAACTATTGAATGTAAAACCAGGATCTGCGCCATAAATAACCTTTACAGTCAAGGTTATCTATCATATATGTGTGTGTATAGATATGTACACAGATATACAAATACACTCAGGTTGCACAAATAAGTGTATTGTAGCTAGATTCATCAATAGTGAAAGAAATTAGACTGGCAACAATGATCAGCATGATAAACTCAAGTAGTGTGCATACATCCATTTCCCAGCTCTGTTTGCTGAAAGATCCTAGGAACCATGTACTCCAGAAGCAGTTAGCACACCTACTGCCCAAACCTTGGTGTATCATTCTTAACAACAACCACAGACAGAAACAGGCCCCCTGGAGAAGTTGGTTTCAGGGTTTGGTTCTGGCGCTATAAGATGAGCCTAAACACGTGGTACCAGAAAAGAAGGGCGACATGCTCCAAAAGCTAGGAATGTGTCAAGTTACACAGGAGGCACCTCAAATTTATGAAGTAGAGGCGTTGGTATCTTAATGAGCTGTACATAATTTGGACATTTGTAACCTATGGACTGCCTGTACAAAAAAGGTCACAACATCACATCTGATGCTCATCTTCTTTAGTTTATAGTTTATTTTATATTTTAGAATCTAGACTTTATTGACATATAATTCACATATACAGTTTAATGGTTTCAACATTTTTTTTAATCGTTTTATTAGGGGCTCATACGACTCATCACAATCCATACATACATCAATTGTGTAAAGCACATTTGTACATTCGTTGCCCTCGTCATTCTCAAAACATTTGCTCTCCACTTAAGCCCCCTGCATTAGGTCCTCATTTTTATTTCCCCTCCCTCCCCCTCCCTCATGAGCCCTTGATAATTTATAGATTGTTTATTTTTTCATATCTTGCCCTATCTGACGTCTCCCTTCACCCACTTTTCTGTTGTCAATCCCCCAGGGAGGAGGTCACATATAGATCCTTGTATTCGGTTCCCTCTTTCCAACCCACTCTCCCTCTACCCTCCC